CGTCATGAAGCTGGTCTGCCATATAGATATATGTACGTTACCACAGCAGCCATAGCAATAGAAGGCGCACTGGGCTGCATTGCCAACCCCTTGCTAAAATGTCACGCTGGTGCACGTTCAGGGGATAAGCGCAAACGAGCAAGGGCTCGTCCTGCCACAACTTTACCTCAACCTCATCTCTACCATAAGGCCTCGTATACCCAGACGACGAAGTCATTCTATAAAGCCGCAGGTGTCTTCGAAGATGTCGTGAGAGTCGGAACAATCACGTTTCTCGAAAAGCAAACTTTACTTCAGCTATGGACCGAGCGCGAGGTTTCTTTTTTTTTTTCTTTTTTTTTTTCTCGAGATCAACGCAAGATGATCTGCCACCGGTGTATTCACCGTCCTGCAGCCTTCAAGCAGGTGTTCGATGTCGCTGTGAATGGGTGTAATGTATGAGGAGAAATCATGAGCAACCGATACCTCCACACTCAAGCGATCTGAGCAAACATCAAGATCAAGATCGACAGCCTCAGGGGCCCGACAAGCAAAGAACGAAAATCACGAATGCTCGAATACAAACAATAGCGATCCTCATCGTAGCTATAGCATCTCTGTGGATCCACAAGCCATACGCCCTTGCGTTCTCCATTTGCGGTGGCAACAAAATGGTTTCTCGGAAGGCCTCGCATGTCTCGACCCGTTCGTTACCAGTATCATGATTATCAGCATCCTGCGGATAAGCGGAAATACTGGTGCCAGTGCAATCAAACGCGGTTGAGATAATAAAGGGAGCCAAGCATAAGGTTATAGAGGTTAGCCTGGAAGGCAACAAGGTTTGGGAATATTGGAGGGTTTGTGGATTGCCGAGAGGGGGATGAAAGATGCAATAGACCCGACTACATTGATGAATATTGGGAAGATTTGTGGACAAGACGAGCGTAAGGTTCTCAAAGCCATGGCATGGTTCAAATTGCTGGAATGCTTCTTCTCCATGGCCCGATACTATACCAAGAGAACTTCTGCATCTCATGTCGGTCGATCGAAGTCGAGAAACAGGTATTTCAGCCTTCAGCTAAGCTTTGTCTTGGTCACGGTCATCTGAAGCCCATTCGAGACGAAATAATAATTCTAGATTGTGCTTGGGGGAACGACGCAGCCAACAAAAAATGAAATGGAGCAATCTACGAACACCTGTCCACCACCAACAAAAGAGCCAAACTACATGGAACGAAACAATAATAGGCCGTGTAAGCTTACTCCCCTGACGCCTAGCTCCCTAGAAGGTGTCCCAGCAACGACAACAAAAACATAAAGATCTAACGCAACAGAAGAAGCATGAAAATAGAAACCCATCTTCTGACCCCACCCCGAGAGAAGAGAACCGACAACCGTCAAAAAGTAATTCGAAGGCCTAGCAATAGCCGGTAGTCACCTGATGGACAAAGTGAGTGGAACAAATGCTCAAGGAAATAAAATAAAACAAGAAAATGGAACGACAAGATATAAACGACAAAAATGAAAAGAACATCCATCAACCGCCCACGCATGTCTATCTCGGTCCTTGAGATTCTAATACATCTTGCCAAACTGTCTATCCAAAGCTTGCACTGTCTTCTATCCACGATATATCTCCCGATAGACCCTTGAAGTCTATGAGATGTAATCTTGTGCTACAACTCTAAAAAGCAGTACAGTAGGCACACTCGACATGGCCACAGTCGGGACATACATCATCGCACCATTCTCTATTGACCTCGCGGGTACAACCGCAGCAGGCCCAAAAGCTGGTCATTTGGGGCCTATATTGCCTATTGCCGGCTGAGTGCTGCGGAGTGGCATGTGTAACCACATCCTCACAACTGTCACATTTTGTATGAGCGCAGTCTGGACAACTCTCGCCCCAAAATGTCCACTTGACCTCACGTTGACATTGGCAACACCTCCACTGATCCTCGTATACTGGACAAGTGATAGTGTAAGACATCGGGTGCTTGAATATCTCGCGGCTGACTTGTCGGTCTATCGGTCAGAGGAATGTAGACTGCTGGTTTCGTCTCTCTAGGGGAAGCAATGGAATATGGTGCAAAGCTGGTGCGTTGATAAGCGCGCGTAATGGCTGAGTATGATGAGAGTGTCGAGGTAAACTGATTGGAATACTGGGATAACGATCTGACCTGTCTTGGAGTTCTTGCAGTACTGTGTATCCCGCAAACTTCGAAGCTGTTGATGCTTTCGTCCATTTTAGCTGCTATGCCGTCGCAGCTATATAGTCACGTAGAGCATCTTCCGGGCACAGGAGCTCAAGTGAAAGCTCGCCTGGCTCAGGGCACTCACCCAGTGCAAGTATACATTCTTTGTTGTTCAACTTCCTGATGGGGCCACCTAGGTACCCCAGCAGCGCCGTACCATGTCGCTGGTTATTGAGGCTTTTTCGCAGATGCTCATCAGTCCAGACCGATGAGCTCTTAGATGATGGGTAGAGCCAGCATAGCAAGGGCCTAGTAGCCACTCGCAATGCCGAAGTCTAAGCAATACATGGAAGATCTTTGTTGATGACGAACAGCATCGGAGAGTAGAATTGGCAGGAAGATCTTGGGCAGCCGGGCAGTGCAATTAAAGAAGCTCTCGCGACGTGATCATGGCTCAACTACGTCCTTGACCTGTTGTTTCGATGAGCTAGCCTTGCCCTCACCTTCATGATCATGTTCAGAACTTCGGAATAACCGCCATTAAAAGGAGTTCGCCCAGGATTGGCTAACAATGTGACAAAGTAATAGAAGTTATATTACTTTTGCCGGACAATTCCGATACAACTTCCAGGCGTCTTCTTTGCATTGGAGCGAGTGTCGATAATATGTCGGGAGTCGAGGCTTAGCATGTTAGGGCTGTCGATTGTCCGAATAGCGTCATTTTCAGTATGTGTTTCTTTGCATAATCTATGCCACGTATCTCAAGTCTCTCCAGCACCGCCCTCTCGAGTTGGAGCGAAGTCGGAGAGTAATAATTTTGGGTTCGTATACCTATGTTGAGGTTAACTATAAGGCTGAGGAAAGTAACTAGGTAGGTAGTCAGCAGACTTACCTTCGTTACAAGCCAACTTACCGGGAAACGTCATGGTCATGCCAAAGTCATTCGTACACCTTGGGGCGACTTGCTCACGACAGCACAACCGCAGAGGATCGCAACTTTAATGAAAATATCAGATAGTATTGGCCCTCAACCGACCGTACGCCGGGAGTTGCCCGTGGATGGGTTTTCGGTGAATATTTGCTGGCATTGATGGAATCATATGACAATCCTAATCTGGAATGAATGGCAATGAGGTAAATACAGCCGCCTTGTTATGCTTCATGAGCCTTCAATTCCGGTCGCTCCGAGGAGAGGTCCGATTTCTGATGCTGAGCTTTGTATCATCAGAGTCAAAGAACTATGAGACTGGCATCAGCTCTTCCCAATGCGTTACCGAGATCCACGGCCACCAATTTCCATCAGACCCAGATATCGAACAAGAGCGCACGACAGGAAAGGTGATCAAAGGGTTCGTAAGAAGACGAATGGCATTTGACGCTGGACCTCGAACGTCATTCGAAGCAAGGGATGGACCCATCGTCGGTATTCTGGGTACTGTAGGCGCGGGCATTGCATCCAAATCGTTTCCTCGCAAGCCAGCAAGAGGATAATTCACGACGAAAGGGCATTGTCAGATTATGAGGGATTGATAGATCTGAGATGTGGCTAAAAGATGACCAGTAGACTCATCTATTACATCTTAAGAGCCGCAGGCCACCGAGGGTGGAGGCACACTCTCCGGAAGAGTCGACTTGCATTGATCTAAACCCCGCCGTGCAACCCTTTCAAGCCACCACAAGAACCATTCTGGTAAGTATATGAACATCTTGCTACCAGCCCACCTATCATCTATCATCTTGGAGATACTGAGGTTTAGATCTTGCAGGGCCCCGCAATCTACTCACTACATTCGTGCCCATTTGGGTAATAGTTGTCCCCCACCAGCGGTGTAATCTACCCATTGGGGTGTCATCCCAGAAGCATTTTCTAACATATTGTTGCTTCGGCCCGCTCATGCTGCTTTTCCTTCTCACACCAAGGCATCTTTCAGCTAAAGTAGCCCCTCAGCGGGCCATCCCGCTACTATACTTTTGTCAGCGAGGTATCGAAGATGAGCAGTTCCCCCACCAACACACTTGCATATATTACCTACAGACAAATCAGTCCTTGTCTTTCCACTATCAATCCCTGCGACGCTGTATTTTCGAAGGAGAAACGAAGGTCGAGTACTGGGAAGAAGAAGAAGAAAAAACCCCGTTTTGGGACTTCTGGGAGAAGCTGGAACGCATTTGTCTAACAAAAGACTGGGAGTGGCAAGATGGAAGAACGGAAAATGTAATAAATATGCGTAACGTTGTTGTATAACCAATAACTGATATTAAATTAATATATTTCCGGAAAATCTAGAATATAACAGAGAAAGGATCGGAATATAACTGCTACGAAAAGCGGACTTCTGAGCCCAAGAAGATGGTTCTCAATCAACAACACGGGACAAATAGCTTAGACAAGTAGAAAGAAGATATAGCTTCACTGGAAGCAGGGAGAATGTGAAGATTCTACTATCATTTCCGATCATTTTGCTCTTGAAGTACTTGTCGCTAGCGTGGTGACATCAGGACTTCGCGTCTCCCTCCCGTCCCCACGCGCGTGAACACATCTAAACCTCACCCCCCTCACAAGCCGGCCTCAAGCCTATTCTTGAAATCCCAACACTCATCCTACGATGTATGCCGAATCGAGACAAAGATTTACCCATTCCTTATGACCATTTAGTCTGCCTGGCTTTGAGCCGCGCCGAGAATCTACCCCTCAGCGCAAAAGGTTCAACCGGAGCGTGGCCCCTCACCTTGCAATATTTGATTCAGCGATTGAATGCACTATTTTTCGCCCCCTGTACAAGAGATCACATTTTGGACAGTCCGTGAATCCCTCTTCCACCAACTATGTCGTCCTCCCAGCCTTTTGAAGCATCCTCGCCAATTCGTGGCAAGAAGTCCCGATTTACGTATAGGCATCTCGCGCAACTTGCATCATCGTCTACGACATGCCCTCTTCGAGTTATTGCCCATGTGGATTTAGATGCATTCTATGCGCAGTGTGAAATGGTGCGGTTGAATGTTGCTGAAGATCAACCGCTCGCTGTTCAGCAATGGTACAGTATAGATACCTTCTCTGATTTAGCATCATTGCTAACAGGAACCTTTAGGCAAGGCTTGATAGCGATCAACTACCCAGCCCGAAAGTTCGGCCTCAACAGACACATTACAATTACTGAAGCAAAGAAGCTCTGCCCGAACCTGATATGCCAACATGTGGCGACTTGGAAAGAAGGAGATGAGAAGTGGGCCTACCACGACGATGCCTTCAAAAATATTGCTACACACAAGGTGTCTCTAGACCCGTATCGTCTTGAGTCTAGGAGGATTTTGGCGTGTATCAAGGAGGCTCTCCCAGCAAATCTCCAAAGGGTCGAAAAAGCAAGTGTGGACGAAGTTTTCATGGATTTGTCTGCCCAGATCCATGCTACAATGCTGAAGCGTTATCCTGAGCTTTCTGGGCCCCCGCCGTATGATGATCCTACAGAGAGTCTACCGCTTCCGCCTACAACAGCTCTCGACTGGCAAGCCGACGCACTTATAGACCTTGATGCTGATGAAATAGAGGAGGAGGACCCGGATTGGGACGATGTCGCTATTTTGATTGGCTCTGAAATCGTCCGTAAAGTCCGGGCCGCTGTCCAAGAAAAGCTTCAGTATACGTGCTCTGGTGGGATTGCTCAGAATAAGATGATAGCGAAGCTCGGATCAGCACACAAAAAGCCAAACCAACAGACTGTGGTTAGGAATCGAGCCGTGCAAAAATTTCTTTCCGATTTTAAATATACTAAGATACGGGGATTGGGAGGCAAGCTTGGAGAACAGATCACCACTGCTTTCAAGACTGATACGGTCAACGAACTGCTCCCGATTGCTATTGAACAACTAAAGCAGAAACTTGGGGATGATACCGGAACATGGGTCTATCAGATAATCCGTGGCATTGATACAAGGTATGTGATTCCAATTGTATCCGAACTTGGCACTTTCACGTTGCAAAATTTGCGGCTGTCCCTTCGCTAAGTCAAGATAAATAATGGACTTATCACGGATGGATAATATACTGCAGACAACGATTACTAACTATTGACGTTAATAGTGAGGTAAACTCTCGAACCCAGATTAAGTCAATGTTATCTGCGAAATCATTCCGGCCTACTATAACCACACAGGAACAAGCGATTCGATGGCTACGTATCTTCTCGGCGGACATCTACTCCCGACTAGTCGAGGAAGGAGTTGTCGAAAATAAGAGGCGGCCAAAGACCATGAATCTACACAATCGACACGGCAGCCAAACAAAATCAAGGCAAGCGCCAATTCCTTTGGGAAAGAAGATAGACGAGGCCGGGCTGTTTGAGCTTGCTAAGACGCTTCTGGGTCAGATCATGCAAGAAGGCCAAGTTTGGCCATGTTCAAATATCAGTCTCAGGTAAGCTCACTCGAAGCTCTTTAGATTATCTATCGATGCTTCTAAAACACCACTCACTGTCATTACAACATCCTCAAGCCCTAAGAGCTTGTTTGAATGCTAACCCCATTATGCTCTGTAGCGTTGGAGGGTTCGAAGACGGCATTGTTGGTAATATGGGTATTGGGGCTTTTTTAGTCAAGAAGGATGAATTGAGAGCATTGGACACGGGTCCAGCCATAAATGAGACTGGCAAGGAGAGACCAGAGAAGCGAAGGCGCATCGAACCATACACAGGTATCCAGAGATTCTTCAAAATGGACAGCACAGACGAGCATGATGACGAATTTGGATCTCAATACTTATCCGGTATTGATAATCCTTCGGCTGAAAATGCAGACTCAAATGAGGAAGATAAGGCAGCATCGTCGAATTTGCCTCGCCCTGAGGCAACCGCAGGCAAGACTACGTTATCAAACGGCTTACCGGGAACGCACCAGCAACATATAACAGATTACATGTGTGATCGTTGTAGCGCGGCCTTGGAATCTGTGGAAGCTCTACAGAGTCATCAAGACTTCCACTTTGCAAAGGACCTCGAGCATGAGGAACGTACTCGAGTGGTACCCAAACAATCTGGAGTCATTCCCAATAACAAGAAGTCCCCGGGAACTGCAAGCAAGAAGAGAGGTTCACGCAATAGTAAGCCGGAGAAAGGGCAAAGCAAGCTTGCATTTGGATGACTTGGTTGGAGCATAAGAGTGCATGGAAATCGAGACCGTCTGGAAGCATATTCCAATTTTAATCCACCCCCTTCGAGTTTGGAGAGAACGTCTCACAGTTGGCAAACCTCACCAACTCTGTTTACCCCTATAACAATGGGCCACAATATTCAACGACATCGCGGCAGAGCTGTTTGACAGCGATAAATATGCACATACTAAAGGCTTTGTGGTGTCAACGCAAGTAGCCCTGTCAAGATGTGTCCTATTTGCACCACACCATGGAAAGTAAAGCATCAACCTTGCCCGCTAGGAACACAGCATGAGAGGGATACAGATATGCACAAGCCGGGTTCGAACGGAATTGCATACATAAGTGACTGCATCCTGTAGATATTCTGCAACGCGTATTTAACAGATGCACATCATGCAAATTCCGATGCCACGGAACGCTGATCATTTTTAACAAAAGCCGGTTAAAATCTGGGATTTCTAACACTCCTTATACATAGCTACCATTGTCGAGGCGTCAAACTCTCACAGTGTGTGAGATATTATAAGACGAGCCAAATGAAGCTATTCACGAATGTCCTAACACAACAAGGGATAAGGGATAAGGGATAAGGAAATAAGTCAGGTTCAGGGTCGGCTCCGTTAAAGTGTTGGCGAGCAGACTTGTGATGGCTTCCAGCGAATGAAAGGCTGCGACGTAGGCAGATGGGCATAGTTGGGCCGAAATGCATGGAGGCCCAACCCGACCAAGGCACACGCCACAACACAACTTGCCACAAATCTGGTGGCTGCTTCGCTCTCTCGAAGTATCTTGCAGACTAAATAATTTGAGAGAAGAAAAGGGAAAGATTCGTTGACAATGCAATTTACTAAAGGCAAAATGAGCAGAGCCTCTCAGGATTGGCGTTGATTCTCATTCGCCATCCCGCAGGCGTTCTTTACCCTATTCGCCGGCTCCTCGCTATCTGCTGGCAGCGTAACAGGCAATATCGATGTAGTTAGTTCTGCAGTAGCGGAAATGTCGCCGCAGAGCAGAGTTCCAAGGACGAAGATTGGGGCCTCGATGTATACAGACCCACCTGGCCCATCTTCGTTTGTGACGAGTTAGCCTGCCATCCTGTTGGGAGTCCAGTTTTTCAGGCTTCCCGCAATTTCTTGCCTTTAAGTAGTCCAGGATTTCTGCTCATTTCCGGACTTGCGACGAAAGTCTTTTGGCATTTAACATGCAGAATCCGGGTTGTGTTTAATCGATATCAAGAATCAACACAAGAGGCTCAAAAGCTTGCAGAGACGTCTAAAGCAGCGCTGCCCCCTTTGCCACCCCCCTAAAACGAAAGCAGCGTCGTACCAGACCGCAATAAGACGGCAGCACCGCAGAACATAGCCCTAGCGAGTTTGCCGCTTCCCAACCCCTCCAATCCTCAGTCTTACTTCTCTCTCCCACTCCCGCTCTCTCACACCCAGCGACATCGAGCTGCTGCAACCACCAGTCAACTCGCGCTCCCTACCCATCTTCAAACCCCAAGGCCACCCTTGTGCAAACCGCCATTTGGACTTACCGTTTGTTTATCCCGGATAAGTGGACGGACGGCATCTCACCACCGCCTCTGGCTGGACTATTTCTTCTCAAGGCTCCCTCCCCCCGCGCGCCGGCCACAAACCACATTTGGATCCCTTTTCAGACTTTTCACTTCCCATCCTATTATCGCCGATTTCGTGCTACCACACAGACTCCCTAGGCTGACGTGGTGTGTGATTCGCATACTTCTTTCTTCGTCCTTGGAGCTCCTTCCTCCATTCTTACACCTTTTTCCACCGGTTTTCCTACCATGTCTGGAAGAGATAGAGATAGAGAACGAGACAGGCGCGCAGCCGCGCAGCCTCAGCCCGTACGAATGAGTACTTTGTACCTAAGGATGGTATCGACCGAGAGGTCATTACCGCCGACATCTGTCGGTACCTTGGAAACGATGCTCTCGTACGGCCTGGTAATTACGAGGCACGTCTTCGCTGAACGAAACCAGACCTGACGGCATACTGACTGTTTCGCAGAACCCGAACACTCGGCAAATACAACAAGGCTACTTCATTACTGCGTACCGGAATTTAACGACCGTAATATACCTTTCTGACAATCGATAAAGAAAATGATACTGATCCTTCTTGCGATAGGCTATGATCGCGGATCTTAAAGCTGATTCCGACAGATGGGAAGCCGAGCGGCGATCAACCCAGTCAAGAGGACAGCCGTCAAATGGTATACCTTCGAGAGAATCGGACGGTATGATTCGGAAATCTAACACACCTATAGTGGAGTACCGGGCTTCTACAACACATCAGTCCCGACAGTACTATGGACCCACTGAAGCTGCCACAGGAATGTCTACTCCAGGATATGCACCGGCGGCTTCCTCTGGAAACGTGGCCCAACAGGGAGTATATGATTATCCACAATCAGGAAGCTATGCCCCGCCGGTTTCCAGTGGATATGCCGCTCCATCAACATATTCCCAACAGGATAACAATTATTATGTTGCCGGAGCCAATATGGGCGCCATCCAGGAGCAGCAGCCTGATCCACGTTTGGGTGGACGTGTCCCTGTGTCCCAGCCAGGAACAATTCCAAGAACAGGCCAGCAATATGGCGCAACTCCTGCATATGCCCAAAGAGAAGCCAATCCTTACTACTCCCCCCAACCGCCCGCCACTTCAGTTTCATCTTCTCAGTATCCCTCCAATCCATCGGATCCCTACTATGGTCGTGGTGCGTACAATCACCCGACACCTTTCTTTTCTATATGTCGCGATCGAGAATTCTCTAACAGTTTAGTCCCTCCGGTAACAGGCACCTATGATTCCCAGGATTATGATGGTCGTCCATACCAAGACAATGGACCCTACAGCCAAGCCCAAATGACTCAAAATACCACAGCCACATCAGGACCATCCAGCAGGCCACGTGAACGTGAGAGAGACTCAGACCGGGAAAGACGTCATCGCCACCGTTAGGATTTCCATTAGGACTTGACTTTACATATCTGCCTTCTGTCAGCTCACCCAAGGGGATTGCATTTTCTGGCGTTTTTCATTGTTTCATTTATCACTGGATTCGCTGGCATCTCTGGAGCATTTTGCCTTGGATATATCTGCCCCAAATCTTGGACCCAGACCCATCTAAACGGGCTTTTACACCTTTTTTGTCTGATCTTTTGAGCCGCCAGGCCTGTACTCAAGCCGGAGTTGAAGGCCCAAAATGATCTTTATCCCAGGAGAGATCTGTCATCTCGTCCGGAGATAGGAGATTTTGAACACTGGAACGACGACTTGCTTACGACCGAGAAGAATTCCGTTAGATGATATCGTCCTGCGCGCCCAGTTACACGTATTATGCCTTATGAAATGGACCCAGGAAGAGAAGGATGCATTATGTTTTTCACGGTTATTACTGTCCAGTGCACCAGTAATTGCATATATACAGGCCGTTGTGGCGTCCGGGGTTTTGCTTTTTTTACTTGTTCTAGGATACCACCTTCACACCTGCTGTCTGGATCCTTCTTGCTACCAATGGTTTTATGTTCTCAGTTCGCTACGTCCGTTTAGCTTGCTCAAATTGTGAGTAATCTAGACTTGGCTAGAGGGACTAGCTTGGGTACGGACCAGGCAGCATGGTGACTTTGTACATATCGGCCACCACAGGCACATTGCAACGGAATAATTCCCATCCTAAATACGCGTTTCTCAGTTCCAATGGATGTCCCACATGGAAGAACATTACCTTTGGAGTCTTACTACTGACTTTAATAGGACTGGTCAGTTATTTTTTATTCCCGCGGATTCCAACAGGAAAGGACCATTCCATGAGATTAGCGAACCATCTTATTTAGCCTTGGACAGCCTCCAGTGGAGTTTCATTCATTCCGTCTCTTCTCCTGGATCCGATAGAACTAGAAAAGGCCGATTATTCCTTCGTGGACTACTTGTCTTTCCCGGATTTGCTCCTTGCGATCGCAAGATAGCTTTGTTCGAGGCCCAGTTAAGGACACCTTTCAATCTAGGGGAATTCAACAAGCCTCCCATCAGTGGTCAAACAAGGTTCCAAACTTCTATCCCAAGCTTCAGAAGATGCTAGGTTCAGAACAACATTATTTAAAAAACTTCGAAAAATCGGCTTCATTCTTTGTAATGGGCGCCTATTTGGGTAAGTATCAACGCCTACCTGCCAATACCCCAGCAGGTTTATTCTCCGGGCCTGACTTATTGCGCGATTCCATTTTATGGCTTTTGTTCCACATCTCCAAGCGTACCAACCCAGTGCACCTTCCGGCACCATTATCCTCTTTTGTCCACATCTGCATCCACGGACCTTTAGGAAATGCTCAACTCACATCACTTTCCACTCCACTTCCACTTGAGATATCTTGGAGCTGTGATCATTGCCATAACGTGTCTCGAGTCCACCAGACATCCACCCTCAGATTCTCTTGCCGTGGGCAATTCAGCCGAGCCAAGCCTGAAAAATACAATATCCCTGCAACTGGAGGACAGACATCCTTTTCTCTTCCCGTTCGGCTCGTTCGGGAAAGAAAGAAAAACAGAACATCTAGGGTCCAAGCACCCTCCTTCATGCCGGAGACTGAACACCAAATCATACCAGGCCCGTTTCCCGTTCTCGTGGAGCTCAAAATTTTATGTACATGTATATATATGACTTCCCCTCTGCTTTTGAATCTTCTGCTTGTTCGTTTCATACCAGCTGAATGGATGGATGAGGAGCTAACTTGGTTTAGGCACTCGTGAGTGAGAGGTTAGGGATGGGATTGTGCAGGTTGGGAGGTGGGGCTGAATAAAGGGTATCCTTGGTTTAGGGCTTGGGGTTTATGGGAAGGGGGGGTAGTTCGGTCAGTCGGGGTTGGAAAGGGAAGGGAAAGGAAGGAATACAAAGTACTGTTTATAGTCTCGGGACTCGTTGCAAGGGCTCCTTTTAATCCTCGCTCAATGATATTATTGTCTTCGCACTTATACTCTCGATGCGTGGCAATTCTTTTTCCGTATTCAAAAAATCGATTTTTAAAATCCTTTCCTTCGCTTCGTCATCCGAGTCCAGACCTCAATAGATTCATCTTATCCAATCATCTATATTTTCTGTAATCTCTATCTATTTAGATTTATTCTCCCTCTCCTCTCCCCTTCTCAAGCCAACTAATTCCCATCTCCCTCAACTTAAACTTCTGAATCTTTCCGCTCGCCGTCTTTGGATACTCCGTGACCCAAAAAACATATTTTGGCACTAGATGCCCACTCAACTGTTCTCTGACCCATTCTCTAACCCATTCTGTCGTCAAGAGCTTTGAGTCTGCTTCGCTTCCATGGGCATGTAGACCTGAGTTCACGCCGCCTTGTTTTTGCTTTTGTTTTTGCTTTTCGCTGGGTGTGGGATTGGAAGTGGAAGCGGAAGCGGAGTCATCAGGTCCAAGAGCGGTATTCTGATGAGGCACGACAAACGCAGCCACCACCTCCCCGTATTTCTCATCCGGGAGTCCCACAACAGAGACCTCAGACACAGCCGGGTGTGCAAACAGCGCATTCTCGACTTCCAGCGGATGAATATTCTCACCGCCGCGAATAATCAGATCCTTGATCCGGCCCGTGATTTTCACATATCCCTCGGCGTCCATAACCGCTTCGTCGCCCGTATGCATCCACACCTTGCCCTGATCATCATGGTCGATCACGCGCACTTCTGCGGTGCGCGATGCGTCGTTCCAGTATCCTTTCATGACGTTGTAGCCTGCTATGGCTAGTTCGCCGCGCTCGCCGACAGGCAGGATGTGAGTGCGGTCGGTGACGGATACTACTTTTGCGTGGACGTGAGGCAGGAGCCGGCCCACGGAATCGAGGCGTTTGGGGAGCGGGTCGGAGGGCGTCGTCATGCAGGATACGGGGCTTGTTTCCGTCATGCCGTAGCAGATTGTCAGGCCCGTTAGGTTCAACTCTCTGTGCAGCTTCGACATCAGATGTGAAGGTACTGAAGACCCGGCCGCGATACCCGTGCGTAGATGCTCGAAGCCGCTACGGGGGACGGTGCCGCTGGAGAGGAGTTCAAGCTCCGAGACAAACATGGTTGCTACGCCGTATAGCGCGGTGGCTCTCTCGGCTTGGACGGCTTCTAAAGTCACCCGCGGGTTGAAAGCTGGACTTGGGAATAAGATGGCTGAGCCGTGTGTGACGGTCGCCATATATCCTAAGATACATCCAAAACAATGGAATAGCGGAGGCGGACAACACACCACATCTTGTGGCGTAAGACCCATTCTGAGTCCTATGAAATACCCGTTATTAAGGATAGAGCGATGGGATAAGCATGCTGCTTTGGGGGCTGAGGTAGTGCCGGATGTGAACTGAATGTTCACTGTATCGTCTGCGTGAAGCGAGGCGTCAGGGACGATGGCTTGGGGTGATGAGTGGAGGAGGGCTGTGAATGGTATTGTGGATGTGAAGGGGGTGGTGTCGATATGTGATGGAGCAGTGGCGTTGTTTACCAGGGTGATAGTGCGCAGGGAGGGGACTAATCTGGACTGAAGGGTTGAGGATGTCAGGTCTCCTGCTATGGCTTTGAGAAGCGAGATGTTTTCTCTGGGAGGCTTGTAGGCCAGATTTGTCTCGGCGCCTATGATAAGATGTGAGGCATCGAGATGGCAGAGTGCGGAGATGACTTGTGTGGAGTTAAAGGCCGGGTTGAGGGGAACCTGGTTGATATTTAGCTAATATGTGTCTTTACTTACTTTATCCCACGTTGTCATTTCTCTCTGAGAATGGAGTTGGAAAGGGAGGGGATATACCAATATAGCACCAAGCTTAAAAATCGAATAAGTGAGTGCAGCAAACTCCCAACAATTCCCTAAACTAATAGCAACCCTATCCCCCTTCCTCACGCCCCTCTCCTGCAATCCCCGCGCCAGCACATTACTCTTCTCATCCAGCTGTCTATATGTCAACCTCCCTACTTCTACTTGACTTTTCGATATAACGGCTGTTCGATCGCCGTACTCCGAAACAATGGAGGAAAAGTGTTCTGGAATCGTCTGCGTGAGCAGGGGTGGCTGGATATTAAACACTGTTAGTAGAAGGTCTATCTATGAATATGTAGAGTGGAGTGGGGTAAGGGACAATAAATAGTACCTCAGTAGGACCTTCAGCGTAACTTTGTGTGAGGAGGGTTCTCTGCTGCTGTTGCTGTCCAAAGACTTCTCTTCTTTTGCCGTGGTATATTGTGCCATATCTCCTAATTGCAATAGATCTAGCCGTCCTTACGGCTCCAAATATCCTCACGGAAGAACCCATTGTCGTGTTCGTGGACCCTACGTCTCAATCCTCTCCATTCCATTATCTCACAATGCGTATGTGTATATCCTCTTTCTTCGAATTGGAGAAGAAAGAGGACAGGATTGAGATGTCGAAATTGTGTAGCCAAACCTCGCCGAACTCACTTTAAAATGCGGGGTGAAAGGCGGGGCACGGTACTTTCCGCGCTTGCGGTAAATAGGAGCCGAGGACTTAGGGGGAAATGACAATCGAGTATTATATTTCCAGACATTAGGCGAAAGTTCAAATGTAGGTAAACGAGGCTGTGGAACTAGCAAGCAGTTCAATCGTTTGAATATACAAGGTGCGTAGACAGGGGAGCAAATTGTTCTCTCTCCGCATCTATCCAGCATTATCTCTTTTACAAGTCCGAGCCCTTCCTTTCCAATGCACAAGAATTCAGCTCTTGAAACTCGTGCCCGTGTCCCTCCGGTTTGACATCCAAGCCGCCTTTATTGATCTTTTCGTTCTTCCCAACGCCGTTTCGAGACTTCAGAAAGCCCCCGGCTAATTTCCTTATTATAAATCAGAACAAACTCCGTCGCTCTTTGCCCGCCCAGAAAATAGCAAATTTCAGTCCCAAATCTAATTTTTGTATCAACAGCTAGACGGGAATATAAAACAAGCTGAAGGAGGCCTGTCTGTGGGCGCTCCCGTGTATGCCGCTGACGCAAGTACTAACTTCTCGAAATGCAATTTTGTGACACATGGTTTTGTGAAATATACAATGGTTGCCCCGTTCTTCGTTCGGACTACGTATAAAGATACGCCCTACTGTTGTTGTTCTCCGATGTGTCGAAGGCTTTCCGGCTTCCAGGTTCCTGCAGAGTTGTTAGTCATAATCTTCAGTGCATGAATTGGATTTGCGTACCCTCAAAATCGTGTTTGACGAACGCCAAGGGATGATCGACATCCTCCGCACCCATCTGTTGGACACCCGGGCTGAAGCTGGTGATGGGCAAGATGACCACATCACCGACCTTCTTAGCAGCCTTCATACCAGTGAAATCTCTCCATGTAATGTTGCCCTTGCTAGTAGTCATATCAAAGTACTTCTTGTCGTTCATGAAATTGAAAATGGTATCTGTCCACACGGCCGGACCTGTAAATTCGATGACCTTGTTGTCCGAGATACCCTTCAATGTCCCTGCCTTCTTCCTGCTGAGTGTTTCGTCCGTGATATGTGCCACGGCCTCGCGCAATACTGGATGTCCGGCTTTTGACTGAATCGTCCATTGGCAGAATTGGATCCTTCGTGAATACCATTCTTTCCAGTCCTCCCTATCTGGGTCAGCCTCGATGCCAATCACCAGTCCCACTTGTTCCCGCGGAACAGTCTCTGGCAGCCATTCGGTAGCTGATTTGAGTGCGTAGGTGTCGATGTCGGAGTATATGCCACCCCTGGCCAGCAGAATCAGGTAGCGGAAAAAGTCGGCCTTGAGAACAGCCATGGGAAGGGAATTATAGGCCTCGAGTACTTCTGGAACAGAGGCGTACAAGTGTCGCAGCAGATGTACAGCAACTTGATCCGTGATGACTTCGTGGACGAAGCCGGGATGTTTCTCTGACCAGCTGGCTTCAGCTGGACGGAAATTCTCCCCAAATTCCCCTGACGCTGGTGTGTACTTCCACGTCTGCCATATGTATGCTGGGAACTTGGACTCCTGATCATACGGGAATTGGTACGCAAGCTTTTCTCTCAAGGTCGCACGAGAGTCTTGTATTATTTGCTGGCCTTTGCCTGGCGGCTTCATCTGGACTGGAGGCATCTTGGCGGAACTGGATCCATCGTCGGCTTTTGTTGTCGAATCCTCCTGCTCCGCACCACCCTGTTGTAGGTCGCTGCTTGCGTGAGGTAATATGTCGGGTTGTGTTGGATTGTTATTTGTTCGAGTGACGAGGAATAGGACTGTGAGGATGCACGCGGCAAATATTAGGGCTCTTTTGAACGTGAGCATGATGAACAATTAACAACGAATCTGTGGGCGGAAAAAGAAAAGAGGAAGAGGTGGTCTCTCAATGTCCCCTTTCTCCTTCCTACTGCTTGCTGGTCGAGTATCACGGCGTGTGTGTTGGTTGTACGGTGGCTGACGTTGTCGTGAATGAGGTGTACGAATAAGAGTTCACCAGGGGATGAAGAGACCCGGATTCGATGATCTGTGCCAAGAAAAAGGCAATGTGTAGGGGCGTGTTTTAGATGGGCGATCAGCACGCATTCGGCAAGAAGGGTGTTAGACTGTGAAGAACACGGCGCCGGTCGTATTAGCCTGATAGTGCCGTGAGATTCGAGATTGGGGTTGGAGAGAGTCGCCGATCGGAATAAGAGACTATGATAGAGGAGGAGTTGAGCTGTAGAGAGAAAGAAGGATGCGACGTGATGCAGAAAAGAAAAGGAAGAAGGATTGCAGCGAACGCGTATACAATCAAGCAATCAAGGTCCGTAGGAGGGTATTTCAACCTCTCTTCTCTTGTTAGGCATTTTGTTGCCGTCCCGCTTGTGGGTGGCGCGCTGAAACATCCAAAAATATCTACCTACTCGTGAAGAAAGAGCCTTGGATTTGAAGTCTAAATACGAGTATTTAAGAACAGGACACTTCCCGTGCTTGCAATCGACAGTTCTTTTATTTATCTCCTTTGTATATATGTACAGTACCTATACAATCATGTTATTCTATTATATACATAATAGAATACAGCATTAACTCTTCCTATAATTCATTGCGGCCACCCAACCGACCCATCCATTACTGCCAAACCGCGCCAAGATCTGTCAGCTTCACAAGTGTATCCGCTACTGTACTCGTTTCTGTATAGTATAGTACTAGCAGCTAACTTTAAAACATCAAGCAGAGTATTAACGACGACTGAAACCCAACCAATTTTCCATGTGTTCCGTACAAAAGTCTACAGCCGATTTAGACAGCAATCATATCGGAAGCGGAGATTACGATGTGTAAATCGTATTGTATAAATACGGCATCAGCATCCCAGCAAGCATGTAAGCGTCCAGAGGAACACGAAGGAATGCAAACGCGTGTGCTTTTGGAGTACGGACTTGTATCCACTTGAGTTTCTGCACGATACAAAACAGGCATCCTCCGTATTATATTTCTCCAATTTCAGTACTATATCGCGAGTTGTGCTGTTCTCCTGCAACACAGAACATCCTTCTGGGGGTAGCTACCCATGCGTACCTTCCCCACAGAGTATCAGATCAGAAACTCATGACTAGTCCATCAATCCTCCAGGCGGTGCATTTCGAATTTCTCGAGTCTAGAGCTTCTCTTTCCCTTCTCTTTATATTGCAGTAGTGTGAATTCATTGATGCTTTCTATGTTTGCCTCACATTGAAATGCAAGCACACCTCATATCGAATCATCTCATTAGAATTGTCCTTCAGCAGGACGCAAGTGTACTCTCTGCATTTGCCTATGCCTTAAGCCAGTTATTGTTAATCCTTCATATACCTCACTCACAACTATCCACCAAGTAATCTTGCTACATACACCCTGCCTTGTCTTACGTATTGCCCTTTGTCATCTCATTTGAAAGTCGTCATTTTTAAAATAACAAGTGACATCGACATTGCTAACGTCAACATCATCTTTTTTGCATCTTAACTTGACAGGAGGAATTCTGGATGTGGAAAACTCGGGTCATCGATATAGCAGAGCATTCATAAGGATTTTGATAGTTAACAGTCGTCGGTCTCACAATCGTACTTCTGGGACTGCACAGTCTTCATAAAAACAATGACTCAGATTTGTCTATGTCCCTCTAATCTAACATCACAAGCCCTACTTAGGCGCCATTCTCTTCTCAGTAGCTGTCTCCTTCTCGGCTGCCACCATAGCCGCTTTCTCCGCATCATCCGCCACCATCTCCTCTTTGAAATCCAGATACTTTTCGCCTGCAATAACCACCCCATCCGATATCCTAAGCTGTTCCTCCCAGTCCTCTCCATAATCGGCGACCAAAGCCGAAACGTTCAACATGACTCCCTGGCCACAATGGAACTTCGGAGGCGTGATCGGGCAGCCTTTTATGCACATATTCGGGTCCTGAGGTGGAGGGCTCGTATTGTCGAAACAGTTGTGCTTAGTAGAAGATGTCTCCATAGAGGATGGTGGGGTATTTGGTGTTGACATTATTGATGCTATGATGCTATGATGCTTTGCTTTGTTTGACTTGATGAATGTGTGGATGGGTAGACGGTGTTTTTATGTTAATTTGCGAAAGGGGAAACAGCAGGAGCAAGATGCTAAATATTTATAGACCTTGGGAAATGCTCAGTCCTTTGGTTATTCATGAAGTATGAATGATTGTATAACGAGTGGTTATTCATGAAGTTTGAATGATTACCTAGGTATATAACGAGTGGTTATTCACCGAGTAATAACCAATTCAGCCTGTTCGTGATTAACACTATTCAAAGAAGCGATATATAAGTACCTAACATATGATTCCCCCCGTTTCCTCGCTTAGCTTTGGCAATTCCTTCATTCACAACCCCTTTCTATAAAGTTTTCCTATAGATCTGATGTCTAGGGGAGCAAGCAAGGTGCACTAATGCGTTGATTAAACTTAACGTGTATCTTCAATCCTTTGATTGGGCTCCGATTTTTTTGATATCCCTCGCAGCAACGTCGCTCTTTGCGGCTGATGATAATTCACGGGCATTAGGAAAGTGAGGGGAAATTTTGAGTTTTCACAGGCGGACAACTCAACCGTCAGGTCACGTCATGTCATGTCACAAAGCAGAATACTACATCTTCCCAACCAAATTATCACAATTTTTTCTTTCTCCTAGTACCGTATCTTTTCAGCAACCTTCGCCTCCGATCCATCCGTCAATCAATCACCAGCGCCATCCATATTACCCAGTTGTGTGTTTCATTCTTAATTACAAGTTTGTCAACCAATACACAGAAATGAAAGCAGAAAAAGAAAAAGCCCATCCAGAACCAGAAAACCAGAACCCATTCGCATCGCATCGCAATGCCCCAGAGAAACGATTGTAAAGCCACTCCTACCAGCCAGCCATGCAAGCAAAAACACCCCGTTTGCCTCGCGTCTGCTTTTTGATTGAGATACGACAATGAGAAATATATGAGTAGAGGAGAGGATATCCAGCAATCAGATCCCAGCACTCCGCCAATGCAAACAACGAACCCCAGAAAACCGAAAAAGGAAATTCGAATCGAGGTAGATGAAAAGTCGACGAAAGGCCTTGCGCCGTCTGTCCCCATGATGCTCCGCTCCATACCAAGCAAAACACCGAGTGATATCTTCCCAATTCATTTTACACGCACCGTATCATTCCACCCCAATCGACCAATTATAATAGACAATAGGTACTCCTAACCCCAAACCGAGGCCTGCACACCGAGAGAATTCTTGCCCCAAACTCCACCACTCTTTCCACCCCATCCAAGACCCACATCCTGCTGCTGGGCGTTGTTCGGGTTGGAAGCCGCACTGGTAGCTCGGCCATCCTTCTCGGTACCCTGTCCCTCATCATTGTTAGCAGCGGCAAAGCCGTAGCTAAGGGGGGAGGGGAGGGGGGTGGTGGAGCGTTTGTTCAAAGCTGGGTTTGGTGCTTGGGATGCACTAGGACGGGTGCCAATTGGTGCTACACCAGAGCTCGTGGGCGCCTTCCCACCTTGACGGGGAGGCGACCCACCAGGTGATGATGTTGATGTTCGGCTGGACTGTTGGGCTGCAGACTCGAACAAACTGAAGCTGCTTGTTGGGTTGGAGGATGGCGACGAGGTGCTGTTAGCACGGGAGCGTTGCTGTCCCGGAGCTTGACCGGTTGCTGAATGAGGCTCAGCATTTCCTTGCTGAGCCTCGATCTGGTTTTGGCTCTTGTAGTGATCGAATGCTAGTGGTGAGTGGCCCCTAATCCCAGCTGACTGGGATCCTGAACCCTGAGTTCCTGGGCGGGGGGTTCCGTTCTCATCGAATCCGGCATGTTCGGAGTATGAACCATCACCATAAAGTGCGCTTCTTTGACGTGCAATCAGCTCTCGGCGTTCTTCTTCACTCATTCCGCTGCCTGGGCTCATTGTACGGTCTGGTTTGCCTCCGAGAGTAGAGACTTCAGCTATAACGTCTTATTCTAGTCAGTGACCGTTGGTATAATAGAAGAGATTTTGGGGAAACTCGAATCACACACGGCAATGGAAGGCAGAAGAAGAATAGTATATAACAGGGTATTGAGTGATATGTGAACCGCTGGGTACAGGATATTGATATGATGGGTGTTATTGTGATACAGTAGAGGGTGGCCTACTTCGATTGTACTGCTGCTCTTGGTGGTAGTTGCGCAGCTCTCTCTCACGCTGGGCCGCCATCCTTCTCTTCGCCTGCATTACTTGTTCGGCCTCATTCGCGCCACGAGATGGTTGATGTCGCTGGCTGGCATAAAAACCTTGTACATTGGAACCCGAGAATGACCGCGCATCGCCAAAGTCGCTGCCACTGACCGAGTGGTGTCGTGGAGGACCGCTAGGAGTGCCGCCCATGCGAGGATCTATAGATATTATAAGCCTCGACCCATATGGTGCTGATAGATCGCATTACCAAATTGCTCTGGGAATGATCTGGCCGCGCCAGACATTGGCACCGAGTCGCGCCGACCAGACATACCAAACATCTTCCCGCTCTTGACCAGGTTATCAATCGCACGGTCGACCTCTGCGTGTACCTATTAGCTTCGTGATCTTCAACGTCTTCCACGTGGTAGCCCAGCATGGCGCATAGCCGCATGGCCCCCTAGAGACCGGCATGCGACCCTCTAGAAAAACTTTTCACATGCCAAACATATCGTCTGCAGCCCTTCAATGTGTATAGATCGTCACGTACCCTCGATTTGTGTGCCGAACGTAGTAGAATCCTCGCGCGGGACGGCTGAACTGGCACCTGTAACGCTGGTCAATTGACATGTCCTATTGACCTCAGCCCCTAAAAATCACCCGGAGTCAACGTACCAGAACGAGCCGGCGGGGTCTGCTGTTCCCAGGTAGGCTGCGCGGCGGCTGGCCATTGCTGATTATCGTAATAAGACATATTTCCAGATCAAGCTGCGTCGAAAACTGGAGCCTGCAGTGCTGATTCGAGGTATCGTAAGGAACGTATTACGACGAAAAGGCCGCAAGGAGGATTCTATTGAGATGAATGTAGGTTAGTATGAGTCTCCTGATAGATCTGCCCAGGCGGAGAGGAAAGTGGTGTGTGTATTTGATTTGCGCGCGTAGGGGGAGAAAAAAAGTGGTAGCCGAGGAGAAATGTCCTGACGGCGGGCGAAAGCGGCGTTTTGAGGGGTGAGAAACGGCAAAATCTATCTCACTTACCAAACGAAATCCAGAGAGAAAAACACTGGATATACACAGAAAAGAACGACCCAGGACTCGGACGACAGACAACGGGGTGGGAAGGTGTCGTCGAAGGGTCAATGGAGAGAGGATATAAGGCGGGTAAGGTGTCCAGGAGGGAGGTGAGCAAAAGAGGAGAGAGAGAAGGAGTGGGACAAGAGACGTCCGGGAGGTGGTGAGGAAGTGGAAGTGGAAGTGGAAGTGGAGGCTTGCTTGATCAGTCAGTAGTGTACGGTAGCACTCGGTGGTTAGATTAGATTTGGGGGGTGGAGGGTATTAACAGTTTGGATTGGACAGGGCAACGGAGATGCACCCACCATAACGCACCACCGGAGACGATGGCAATCGAGAGACCGGACCGGGAAGGAAGGACTGAAGGAAGGAATCGTACGGGTAGAGTAGAGTAGATAAATTATTAGTGGGCTAAGAAGTAGTGGGGTGCAACAGATGAGATGTTCTGGATGAGCAGGAGCAGGTCTTTTCTCCGGAACAATTCCTTCTCTTCTCCTTCTAGAAGAACAAAAGCATAAAGCATCAGATGTAAAATATAAACTATAAAATATATAATCTACTTCGCATTATATGACACTCGTACTCGTACCTGCAGGCCGATTTCACTTCCACTTGAGTATTCTCTTTCATCCCTCCTCCACCACTTCACTCCTCTCACTCTCTCTCTCTCTCTCTCTCTCTCCTCAGCGCCTCCATATCTACTACTCATACCGTAATTACCATCACTGGTGGAGCTTCCTCCTGCGACTGATCGGGTCTGGTGTGCGACTGACTCTCTGGCACTTTTACGAAGTAGTACCTAGGTAGTGTTGGCTTGCAAATTAGATACTCCGCAGATGCCTTTGGTGGAGTCGCTTGCCGAGCAATGATTTTGATTTCGATTAGTGCCTATATCTCTAGTTTGATACTCAATGCCCTGCACTCATTTCCTTGGTTCTTACTTTCTAGTCTTATAGGGGAGACAAGAGATGGCACACTTCAAAAGTATCTTTCCCCATGAAAGTTAGGGGTAAGCGCGGAGCAAAAGTGGCGAGAGGGGACCAGGAAAAAGCAAAAGCCCGGTTACTCGTACATCTATTTATAAGCCTCAAATGCCTTCATTTTTACAAAGCCAGACAAAGTGGCATCTGAAACCAGACCACAATTTGTGGTACGGTACTGAGCCCCACGTGCTCCTATTGCTTTGCGCGGATCACTTTTTTCGCGGCAACCACCGTGCCACGAACATCTCACAAAAGTTATTCCCCTATCCAACTTCCTCTTCTGTCCTGTAACCTCGTTACCTGTGTGCTCCGGCTGGCACAGCACAGTACCAGCGCTGGCACATCCAGGTTCAAGGTTCCGGCCTTCTGAACTCTTTAAATAACAACCATAGCCAGCCTTGCCTTCAAGATGCACGCACTCACAGACAGTACTGTACAGCACTGTCTGCACAGCGCTATCACGCACAGGAAAACTACTGTATAACGCAGGCAGCCCGGCTGCACCCCACCCTCTTCCCTCCAACCCTTCCAGTGGTTCGCACAGACACGGAGATATACCGCGCTTCAATCCCTGTATAATTGATGGGATTTACAAACCTCCTACGCAGACGGACATCGATTTCATGTTATCAAGTTCTGCAAAACCACAGTATCAAGAAGAATACCACTATGGTACGTACTCCTGTTGTACCGGGAAAGCATGTTCTTCGTTCCATCTACCGAGGAGGTCATTTTATATCCGGAATATCCGAATATCAAACAGCCTCTCCTTTTCATCCCTTCTTTTACAGCGCATCTTTTCCATTTCGTTCTTCCCTTCAAATGAGAACTGAAGATCAATTCAATGATCAAAAATTTACAAATCCCTCCCGTCACCACTCCCCGTTATCGCGCCCCTCTATTTTCCTCCCAAGTCCCCGGTCTCCGTTCTCAACAGGGTGTGCTAGGCCACATCTCTTGCCGCTGTAAGTCCAGGCCTGCCCTGCAGTTGATGGAAATCTTCAACGCTCGGGCCAGACTCTTGGACTTAGCAGAAACATTGGTGGTACATTTTGAAGAAGAGGAAAACCAAACATTAAAACTTTATACCCTCTGTTTCGTTTTCCCACTTGCATCAAAGTTGAAGCTGTACAGACAACACTGCACTCCGCGGATTCGGACACTGTGTCCCAGCGCCAAACATCAAGCAAATCAAGGGGCATCTTCCGCATGCTGTATCCTGTATGTCTTGGGACAAGTCATCATGTACTCTACGCTATCAGCCCAACCCAATAAACGGCCTGCATAGACATACATATCACACACAGCTTGCATATTTCCTCATCTGGGAGTCGCACACCCCACCAAGGCTGTACTTCTAGGACCAGTGGGATCAATTCTTCATATGGGGAAGCAACGGGGACTCCGGATTACTACATCATTAATCAGTGGGCGCTGGTCGATCTGACATGTGTTGGTAGCACTGCTTTCAACGTCTTTCGTACTGCATTTCACTATGTATACTGTGACGCCACACAATACTGCAAAATTTGATGGGCGAGAGAATCAGGACTCGAAGAAACCCGTCCTCGCTAGTGTACTTCAGCTCAATGTATCGCGGGGTAAAGTTCCTCTCCCTTGTGGCAAGATTTATTACCACTTCCGTCATAAGAGTATGGCCTCGAGAGAGGTTACAGGTACTGAGCAAGTGCTGGCAGGTTTCACGGCTTTACGTCAGTGTGCTGTGGCAAGCTGGGCTGCTTCGTTTTGTGCGGGGTGAATGGTTGAACTGTATGGGATTTGGGATGCATATGAAATGTGATGCGAAATGTGATAGGGATGCGAGTCATGTGCCTCCATTTTGAATGCTGTTTGTCGGGCTATCTATTGCTTTGAGGAAGTTCTTCTTTCCCTCTAAAATCAAGCGGCAATCTATTGCTTGCATTGTGCTGCTTTGATTTCTTAGACTTCTGACGTCTTCTTGGCATCCACTTCAGCTTCAGCCCGAAAGCTTGTACACTCCTTCCTGGAAAAACAATACCGGTTAGGCAACCTTAAATTTGAGTTTCGATAGTCCTGAATATCGTTTAGTATGTTTTAGATTCAAGATACAGTATTGATTTCCCACTGTCTTTGTGTTCGGTTTAGCGGTTCTCAGGTTTTTGCATACATCGCTTGGAAATTCGCCACGGCTTCTAGTGCCTACCTAATTTGCAGAGCATTCTGAAGAGTATGTAATGTGCTATTTGCTTTTGGAAACATATGATTTCACAAGCAAGGCTTGGATTATTTCTCATCCACGGCTTTCAAAGGGATCTGTCAACGACACATAGAAGTGAGAGAGTTATCATCTGCGCTTCAGCTGGAATTATGCTATGAAAGGGTCATTGCATTTAGTATGCAAGATGTGGTAGAGAGAAGTAATGCGGGCTTTATTTAGGAATTAGAAGAATGTTTTGCTGTTAAATGTCTTCTTGCTGTCATTCCCCCCAAACCGCGCCTCTGGAATTCAGAGACTATTATTCGAGGGGAGATCTGATAGCAAGATACTAGCTAAGTTGGCATTGATTTGATACTCATAAGCAGTTAGCGCGGCTAGACGCAGCTTCTCCTAGGTTCCATTTTCTCAATTTCCTTAGACTTAGTCGTCACAATGATTCGGGGCGCCTTGTTTATACCCTTTCCAGCTCAGCTATCATTAGTTGACAGATATGCTGAGCGTTCTATAAAGTGAATCACAACAAGCGTTTCGAAACACAATATCGTGGGTATAAATACCTGCTATCTCAACTTCTTTTCGAAGCCGCATGATATAAAACCAAATGAGGCTCATACTTCACGGAGGGCAGGTCAAAGGTAGAGGGATTTCTATGACGAGCTCACTCACCTACCCCAAGGTACTTGTCATCTAGTTCTGTGGTTCAAGCAGCTTCCAAAACCTAGTTTCCCCGGATTTTGCTTTGCTATCAATTCACGTTACTTTGCTGTCATTTCTACCCCCTTCACGGTCGTTCGACCTTCAGCTCTCGCTACCCTGGCCATGAGATAGAAAGCTAGGAGATTAACTTGTCCGCATAGCTACGGTTATCTGTTTGACAGAGCACTTCCCCGAACCTGGTGACCTACCATTTATTTGCATCCACATGGCAGACGACGCAGTCTAGTACCACAAGATCAGCCCTGGGTATTTTTCTTGTATATACCCCGAGACTGCTTTCGTCGAAAGCTGCTTAAGTATACGCTCTCCTAAGAACGAAGGAAATAATCTAGAAGAAAGAGGAACCCACTTTCTCCTTTCAAGAATTCTTGGACTTAGAGTCAACGTAGGTCAATTTATATATTGCGGACGTTAGGACTGCTAAGGGAACGAAATGGTGAATCACTATAGGGACCATACATGGAGAGGCAACTATCTGTCTCTCAATAACGCCACATTGGTGCGTCGACCCGTTGTCTTCATTGGTGCTTTTGTTTCCTCATATGGAGTCTAATGTTTGTTTAGTCCAATTCTATATCGTGTAAATTGAGTTGCTGTCAAGAAGCTTCTGTTGTTACTTCCTTCATTTCATGTCACAGCTGCTTCCTTGTATTGGGACATTCACTCATCTGACGCCGACATATTACGGGGAGTCTCGTAATGTTTCATCCACCAAGTCCGGTTTCTCCATTTGCGGCGAATGGGCATAATTCTGGTGGGTACGTTCAACACTGATACCGACAC